AACTCCTTAGGACCAGGCCAGGAAGACCTCTCCCCCTCCCACTATTTATTCCTATTCCTACTACTCCTACAATTTGCAACACAGAATACTCTTTTGTCCTCAGGCATTTATTCATAGGAGCAGGTCCCACCTCTTGGAATGCCTTTCTAACTCCTCCCATTCGCTTAGGGCAGAAACCCTAGAAATCCTGGAAAGTCCTTCTTCTCTTTAAGGCTTACCCCTAGGCCAGAATAAATAGGTTTTCTTCCTCCAGGCTAATCTATCCCTTATCATTCAATGTGGTGAATGTCAGCCTTTTTTTTTCCCCACTAGACTAAAAACTCCTCAAGGGCAGAGAATGTGTCTTTGTATTACAAGGCCACAGCGACCAAGAGGAAGCTAATCCGGTAAAGTGAATGAGACGACACTGGTTCTGGCAACTCCCATCATGCCTCAGGCAAACATCCCACCCTCCCAAGGTAAGCCCACCAAAATCACAGACTAGGGCTTCCTCAAAGCTATGCAGGACACACCCAAGCAGGCCGAGAACTGCAAGAGCCTCAAAGGAGCAACTAGAAGTAAACCCACTTTGCCCGCTGGTGCACTTACCAATCCTTTACATCTGCCAACTCACAGAATTCAACAGCTAGACCACCATCGAGCTGCTGAGACTTCTAGGAACACACTGCCAACTTTTTACTGGCACAAAAACAGTTATCTGCCCCATGAAGGGTAATTATACTACTCTATCTGTGCTCAAATACTTACTAGTATTAGTAATATCTGCAGAGCCAAGAACTTACTCACATTGAAAAAAATCTCACATCCAGAATAGTAAAAATCTTTAGAGGAAAATATTATATAAAAGTCATGCACCAGGCACCATTCTAGAAACTATGTGCGATTCCTCATTTAATGGCCACAGCAACCCTATGTAAAAGGTATTATTATCACCCCTTTTCACAGATGAAGAAACTGAGATTTAATGAAATTAAGCAATTCGTCCCAGTCACATGAGATTCGAGGCCAGTTTGACGTCAGAGCGCAAATGCTTAGCCAACACAAAACTACACAAAGCTGTTAAATGGAAGATCCTAAGATTAAGTTCCATGTACACGCAATCACACAAGGAGAGAAAACACAACAAAAAATGTTAACAGTGGTTAGTTACCTCCTGAGCGTGAAAAATAGGTCTGAGTGGGATGAAAACGAGCACGTATAACTTTTAGTCAGAAAAAAAGCAAACAAGCCAATAAGAGAGGTGGTATTTAAATGGTTTTAATAAAAAAAGGTTAAGGTGGGTTAATAGATAATAGATAATGAGGACCTACTAAGAGCCAAGCACATAGGCTATCTCATCTAATCCTTATATCAGAAAATGTTATATTTCCATTTTACAGATAAAGAAACCAATGATTAAGAAACCCACCCCGTGGAAGAGCTGGGATCAGAACCCAAAGCCCAGTCCAAATGTGTCTGACTGCAGGATACCACGCGACAAATAAAATTTAACCGAGAAGCTGTTCAAAAACAAACCACATTCTGGGAAAGAATCAGAACCAAGAAGTCTGGCATAGTAAGTGAAGGTGGGAAAAGACAGAGGCCTACGGTTTTTAACTTTCTGCTTTAGTCAATAGTTATCTCTGCAAGTGTCTCAAAAGAGCCAGAAGCATTATCTCTAAAATCAGCCAGGACAGCGAGGACTCTGGGACAGACCCATACCTGAAGGGAGTGGGAAGGAGACTCCACTGCTGTTTGTTTTGCAAAGCAGGATGGCATTAGCATAAGTTACAAGGACTTAAATGTGACTCCATTGTATAAGCAGCAGAGTATCTGCTTTGGGGACAATTGGCTGCCTCCAACCCAGTCTCACCTATTCATCTATTGTTTACAAGTTACCAGGTGTGTGGGGGGAAAAACGGGGTGTTACGTGTCTGACAATATTGCTAACTGTATTCAGATATAAATGACCTCTCATTATTCATAACTACTGTTCCGAACCTGGATAGTGAGAGCTGTGAACCCTTGGGGAATATCTCAGGTAAGAATGAATGGATCAGCACTTTTTTTGAAACCTCATGGTTAATTTTGAGTGCTCTGACTTTGAAATTTTAAAATCCATATAAATTAAAATTTCATTTCTCTAAAATAGTAGTATTTCGTTTCTCCAAAATGATTTGCTGAGGAAAATAGCTGGGGTGGGAGTATACAAATTTCCTTATACAATCTTTCAGAGGAAATAAAATGTGATTATTTCAGACTTACAAATTAAAATAAACATCTACTTTTGAAACTAAATATTTAATAGTGAAAAATACATTACCTTCGCAATTTAAAATTAATTCAATTATTTGCTCTGAAAGTCTTATTAGTTTCCAATAAAATGTAACTTTGAAAAATATCAAAGCCTCCATTCCCTCAGGAATAATAAAGTAGCCCACGAGGTGATTAGATTAGGAAATTTATGTAGGTTTGGGACAGGAGGGGAGAAAGTAGAAAACTTTCAGGATTTGTATATATAAGGCTTTTGAAAGCTTAGAAATGTAAAGTCGACAATATACCTTAAAGATATCAAATTACGGGGCAAAGAGATCTTTTTAAATCCTAAAATGTTCTAGGAAAAAAGACTCACTGAATGATTTCTTCATTCCAACATGCTCTAAAAATAAGGGGAAGCTATAACAGAAGTAACAATTCCGGGTACACAAGTCTATGAAAATATCCGAGTCAATACGCAATTTCAATTCATCAATAAAGTTAAACAACCATTAAATGCAGTTTGCATTTTTGTATGAAATCCATACAACCTCAAATATCAAGCTTTCCTTAAGTAAAATGCTAGCTGGCTGGGTATCTATCATTGTGGAGAAACAGAAGGAGTTTTATTTTAGGCAGACAAAAGGAAAAGAAGCCACACTTAGTAAGAATCACAGAAGGAGTCTCACTTCCACGCCTGACAGAAGTCAGACCAAGTCATGGGTTATCTATTGCTCTGCAAGTGGTAGCTTTTCACTAGGTAACAGTGCTCTGGGGGGGGGTGTGTGGTCAGAATGTGGAACACCTCTGCCTGTGAACTACAGCCTGATACCAGGCAGGACACGCGCACATACACAGCACATAATGCCCGAGGTCCACTAAAAAAAGAAGGGGGGGGAGGGAAGAACAATCGAAAGAGGAAAAATAACCTCCAAACTTGCCCACACCAGGGGCTGGTCGCGGGGGGGGGGGGGGGGGGGG